CCCCACAGGCGCGTAGTGGCCGAATGCGTATCGTCCGATAAGATATGTCTTCTCGGATATCGACGCCTCCGATCCGTCAAGGGAAATAGTGGGACAGGAGACGTGATGGATGAAGGCGAGATTAGCCGAATCACGATGATAAACATATGGAGCAGGCGCACCTTATAGATAGGGTAGCTCAACTGATCATCTAGCATAGACTCGTGATATTCTTGCAGCGCAAGGTTATCCCCGGGCTGGTAACTCTCCAGCACGGAGATTTCGTCTGCGTTAGCTAGCTGAACAGTGTTGTCGACTCCGCCGTGATCCGGAGACGTGGCTAAACGGTATAGGATGTCGAGAAAGTCCTCAGGATTCTCTCTAAGGTCGATTGGCTCCGATGCGATGCACCCGACGCGATCCCAGCGGAAGACACGAGCAGACATCTCCGACAAGTAGAATGAGTAGTAGTGCGTACGATGTTGACGGAGCATAGCTTCGGTGGCATACTTGATGAACTGGCCTCGTGCCTTCCTGCCGATGTCGCTGTGGCGAAGGAATTTCTGCCTGCCGTCCTTGTCTATGTTGTGCGCGAAGAAGAATGGCGACTTGACTTCTGCGTTCTTCACTTCGACATAGCTGTTCATCCAAGCCCAGGCACATCGCGCGATATTGGGGTCGTCTTTAGTCATATCACGAGTGTACGCTAGTACAGCGGCTGGAACGTCGACGGGATAACGCGCAAGATCAGGTTTATGGTCAACTTCAGCGCTCTCGCCATGGTTGGCGACGACTTTCCATCGGAATTTTGACTTTGCAAGCTCCTCGACAGCGTTGAAAATGTCGCACTGTGAGATGTTATGCGAGACGTTAGAGGTCTGCGGTGAGAAGAAAGATGACAATCGTGACATACAAGTGGGATGTACTTCTCGCTCTCCGAGTTATCCAGCAGACGCTTCGTATCTATACCATCGAATTTCACCAGCTTCTGCTTCTGATACTTGCGTAGACCTTTCCCGGACATGAGCGAGATGAATTCTCTCCGAGGGGCTTGTACGCAACGATCGTCGACCTGGGCCACCGTTGTTTCGCTCCAGGAGACGGATTTCAGAGGTGAGTCGCCGTCCTTCTGTGTTCTCGCATCGACGGCCATGCTTGCAGCGGCGGGAGATCCTAGGGCGCCTCCGTTCGTTTGACTCTGAATGAGAAGGGGTCGCGTACCGGCGGACAAACTTGCCACTAGGTAGTGCACCAAATTCTGAACCGTCTCCGCTTCGTGAGACCTTCTCGTAACCGAGCAGCAAGTACGGCCAGGAATCTTTTCGATGCCCTCTGGACCAGTGCCGGGGGAAGGCAGCGGGGTCGTCGGCTGGATCGACAGCCTGAGAAGGGCTGTCAGGGCCCGTAAGAGCGCGTCCTCGGAGCTGACGGTGACGCCGCTTCGGCGGCCGTGAGCTACGCGACATGGTGGGGAGAAACTAACCTACTCGGACAGCACAACGATAACACTACGCGAATCTTTGGCTGCCAACCGTGGCTGTTTAACAATGACAGATAGCACCCAGCCAATTTACAGAGCTCGGTACTATGATCATCTAGGACAGTTCGATTATAAGCCAAGCTGCCGCAGGCAGGCAGTAAGGGACCCTTAAGCTTGCCTTGCTCAGAACGGTCAGAGCTGAATTTAAGGGAAAGATGGGAAAGAGAACAAAAGGTGTCTGTCGCTACTGCGGTGCTTATAAGCGCCTATCGCCCGATCAGGCAAACGCGCCGAATAGACTCGCCACTCGCCGGCCAGGTCCGTTCGCTGCGCTCCTTGGATCTTACTGTAATCGCATCCCATTTGGACAAGGAATTGGCGTAGGGCGAACGTAGTGCAACATATCAGAAATGCAAGTTTTTCTGTCTTTTTAAAGGTCCAATGAGTAAGTACAGTATTCCGTCAGAGTAACTCAAGGCTTCAAGCAGAATCGAGCAGCCCTCCCGCCACTTCGCCATGACATAATGCATGCCATGTGGATATTTTGTCTCCTGACGAAGGTGAAACAGTCGGGCGAATGGAGACCGGCGATGACGAGTGGCGTAGGGGTCGGGGCCTGCTGGCGTACTTAGAGAAGGCGAATCGCGTTGTACGTGCGGTAAATGTAGCCAGTCTGTCAAGCTAGGGCGAATAGAAAGAGCAGCTTCTTAGCCCAAGATCTGGATATTCTTGTTCGCTAACGTCTTTCATTCGTCGGCAGCCGTCCCTTCGCCGTTCTCGCCCAGCCAGACATGAACGTAAACACGCAGGGCAGAGAAAGCGAGTGCAATTAGGCAGTACGTGCCACGCAATAGAACGGCTCTAGTGTACAAGTCAAGCCCAGCCTGTCAGTTTATCTTGGCTAACCGCTTAGATCGCCTCGTCGGTGCAGGCGGCGCTGCCACCTTGGCTTTCGTGGTCTTCGACCTCGGCCCTGTAGTTTCCACCTTCGCAACGGCCGACCGTCGGGGGCCAAGAGACTTGCGAGCAGCCTGCGCCCCGCGCGAAGCTGGTGCCTTTGTCACGATCTTCGTCGGCTGAGGCTTGCTGATCTTCGGAGAAGTACGCGACGTGGACGCTTTCGCCGTGTACTTTTTTGACTGTGCCCCTATGGGCTTCTTCGGGAGCGCAGTCTTGGCAGACCGACCAGCTGTTGCCGCCGCCGCCGCCGCCCTCCGTTTTCTGTTCGCTGTTCTCATGGCTACCGCCTCCTGTGAGACCACCACTTGCTCTGCAGCCTTCGCAAGAGCTCGAGTCCGTGGCCCTTCAGTTCGGAGAACAGTGGGCCTCTTCGGCGGCGTCAGAGTTACATCTTCACCATTGTCTTCCTCTTCGCGCTTCCGCTTTGCTGCGGACTCGCTCGACCAACTTGGGATTCCCTTCCACTGCCCCGTCTTCCCTTTCCTGTTCAAATAGCCGATCATTCGCCAGCTCAAGAACTGGTCGAAGCGCTTGTCGTCCCTGTAGGACTGGAGATCAAGATCGCGGCCGTGCTCGTCCTGAGCGATGCTGAGGAACAGCAAGCCCAGGTCCGTGTGAGACTTGAGCACCGGCTGGGGATTGTCGAACGGGCACACAGTCTTTTCCTGGACCACAGTCTTCCATAGCACCTCCTTACCTTCCGAAGACGTAGCAGCGCGGGGACCGAACAGCGCCCGAAAATTGGAGAAGATGGAGCCTTGGCCTGGATGCTCGGCCAGTGCCTCGGTACGACGAGGAGGAGAATCCGAAGCTGTCACATCGTCGACCTCGTCGGGGGCAGCGCAGTCGCCCTCATGTGCCGCGTACTCCGCGAGCTCCGATTCGTCCAAAGACCAGTAGTGTTCCTGCAGGAGCCGATATGCCTTGAGAAGGAACGTCTCCACGAGAGAGCGCTTGCCATTCTTGATAGGCTTGAATGCCGCGGGCGGGGCGCCAGAGAAAATCGTTTGATACTTTAGTCTTCCACCCGTGAAGAATCCGTTGCCGACGCGCTTCTGAGCGTAAAAGAATGTGCTGACAAAACCCATGAGCTCTTGATTACTTGCGTTGGCTGTGATCTGTGCGTCCTCCGTGTCGTCAAGAGGCTCCGAGGATAGCTCGTGATGATGAAAACGGTATGCGAGGAATGTGATGACGTAGATGAAAGATTCCAAATCGTCGGCGAGCTCTGGAGGTTTGCGTGGATATCGCAGAGCCAGGGAAGATTTGAAGGCCCAGGTCCCCTGAATAATGACATGCGCGATCAGAATGGCACGCCGATCCGACTAAACAGTGAGACTTACAGATATGCCAGAAGGTTCAGAAGCCGGCCGCTTCGCCTCCATATCCTCGCGGTATTTGCAGAGGTCCCAATCGTTCAAGAACCCTTTGCCCGTTTCAGCGTCGATCATGATATTCCCAATGCTTATGTCACGATGGAGGATGTGCGCCAGCTCCCATGCTTGCGTGTGAGCTAACGCAGACGTTAGCTTGCGCACTGAGATACATTCTCATAGACGCTCACCGTAAAACGCCTCGGCGCATACATTCAATAGCTCCCAGGAGTCCTTGTATGTTTCGAGCAGCCTTCCCACCTCCTTCGTCACAAGACGAGTATGCACTCGTTCCGCGGGCCTCCAATCATCCGCTAAATGCGTCAGATATTCTTGCGTGATCGTTCGATGTCCCACGTCTCCGCCCGCTGCTGGAGTAGCGATATGCGTGACTTTATGTTCATGAAGCCGAATATAAGCATCCAACTCCGTGTGGGGTCGAACCACACAACGCCACTGGTCCTTGAACCATGTAAGGCGATTGGTCTGCATATCCAGCGCCGGGTAACCTTTAGTACACCTCCCTACAGGGGAATAGTGGCCGAATGCGTATCGCCCGATAAGATATGTCTTCTCGGATACCGACGCCTCCGATCCGTCAAAGGAGATAGCGGGACAGGAGACCTGATGGATGAGGGAGAGATTAGCCGAATCATGATGATAAACATATGGAGCAGGCGCACCTTATAGATAGGGTAGCTCAACTGGTCATCCAGCATAGACTCGTGATATTCTTGCAGTGCAAGGTTGTCGCCAGGATCGTAATTCCTCAGCGTGGCGATTTCACCCGTACTAGCCAGTCGAACAGTGTTATCGACTCCGCCGTGATCTGGAGATGTGGCTAAACGGTATAGGATGTCGAGAAAGTCCTCAGGATTCTCTCTAAGGTCGATTGGCTCCGATGCGATGCACCCGACGCGATCCCAGCGGAAGACACGAGCAGACATCTCCGACAAGTAGAATGAGTAGTAGTGCGTACGATGTTGACGGAGCATAGCTTCGGTGGCATACTTGATGAACTGGCCTCGTGCCTTCCTGCCGATGTCGCTGTGGCGAAGGAATTTCTGCCTGCCGTCCTTGTCTATGTTGTGCGCGAAGAAGAATGGCGACTTGACTTCTGCGTTCTTCACTTCGACATAGCTGTTCATCCAAGCCCAGGCACATCGCGCGATATTGGGGTCGTCTTTAGTCATATCACGAGTGTACGCTAGTACAGCGGCTGGAACGTCGATGGGATAACGCGCAAGATCAGGTTTGTGGTCAACTTCAGCGCTCTCGCCATGGTTGGCGACGACTTTCCATCGGAATTTTGACTTTGCAAGCTCCTCGACAGCGTTGAAAATGTCGCACTGTGAGATGTTATGCGAGACGTTAGAGGTCTGCGATGAGAAGAAAGATGACAATCGTGACATACAAGTGGGATGTACTTCTCGCTCTCCGAGTTATCCAGCAGACGCGTCGTATCTATACCGTCGAATTTCACCAACTTCTGCTTCTGATACTTGCGTAGACCTTTCCCGGACATGAGCGAAATGAATTCTCTCCGAGGGACTTGTACGCAACGATCATCGACCTGGGCCACCGTTGTTTCACTCCACGAGACGGATTTCAGAGGTGAGTCGCCGTCCTTCTGTGTTCTCGCATCGACGGCCATGCTTGCAGCGGCGGGAGATCCTGGGGCGCCTTTATCGAATTCCTCTCGCCCGTTCAGCTCTGGAGGGGAAGGAGTCGTGTACCGGCGGACGAACTTGCCACCAGATAGTGCACCGCTTCCTGAATCCTCGCCACTCCGTAAGACTTTCTCGTGGCTGACCAGCAAGTACGGTTCGAAATCCCCTTCAATGTCTTCTGGATCAATGTTGGGGGGAAGACAGCCAGCACGGCCCTCAGGATGAGTGGAGGCGGGGTGGTCGGCTACGGAAGGATTCTCAGGGCTCGTAAGAGCGCGTCCTCGGAGCTGACGGTGACGCCGCTTGGGCGGCCGTGAGCTACGCGACATGACGGCAGAGATGAGAAACGAACCTGGGCCGCACAACAATGAAGATCACGCGAGTCTTTGGCCGCCAATCGCAGCTGTTTCAACAACGATTGACAGCACCCGGCCGGTTTACAGAGCTCGGAGCTAGAAAAATCCTGCCCTTATCCCTGCCAATTTCTAACTCCGAAAATAAGCGCTATTGACTGTCGAATCGGACTTTGAAGTAAACTGCATCGGCTCATTTGTGTACACAATGATCTGCAAATATGCGATGTTCGAAATAGATCCAGGTGTAGACAATCTGTTTATGGGCAAGGACCAAACCGCCGCAAAGGCGGTAAGGGACCTTTGAGCCTATCTCGCCCAGAATGAGCCAGAGCCGGAGGGGAGAAGATGAGAAGGGGAGGAAAAACGTGCAAAAATGCCTGTTCTCCTCTAGAGCTTTTCAAGAGCGAAGTGAATGAGGGAGATATAGAATGAGGCTCGTTTCGTTGCAAAGCCCAGACGCCTAAGTGCCTTTCGCCCAATCGGGTAAACGCACCCTTCACCGGCTTCACCAGCCACTGAGCCCGCGCACGAAGGGCAGGTAGCTATGGTCAGATAGTGGTACATACTCGTAGTACAACTTCGATATTTAGTATACTAGAAATTCAACTTTTCATACCTTTATTCAACTTCAAATGCGTATTTCGTCAAAATGGCTCAATTATCAAAAGTTGGGAATATACTTACTCAGAAAGCTTCCCAGCTACTTCGTTATGGCATAGAGCTCGAAGTATGCTACGTAGACATTTGATATGGAGTATATCGTATAGAAGGATGATGGGGACGGTGCTGAACAGAGTAGACTCGGGTTAGGGCTTTCTTCGTCGGCACGCGGATGACGCAGCGAGTCTTCGCGAGTCGGCGACGCGTTCCAATATCGGTGTAGTAGTCTGCGATTAAATTCTTGTCTACTTATTGTTTTACTTATCCCCTGATCCTTTGCCTCTCGGCGCTGCAAATGTTCTAAATGCCGACAGCACGAAATTTAGCCAAGAGACTGGCTCAGAACCGGCGCGAAAGAGAATCAGACGCGTCAATCTGACATTATTTGCTCAGAGGTGTGTTCGCACAGGTGCATCACACTAACTCTATCAAAGCCTTCAGCCTGATATCGCCGCAGGGGGTGGACAAATGTGAGTGAGGCAAAGGCGCACAGTCGCAGTGAGGGGTGCACAGCTTCCAGCAGCTCTGCACATTCAGAAGCTCGCAGACTTTAGCACAAAGTCACTCGAAAACCTCGCACACACAAGCAGAAAACCCAAGACATTGAGGGCGATGTACCTGTATATATCAATCAATACATTCGCTTTATAGTCGCCCGAATTACTCACTCGCATGCTCTGCAATAGGATTAAACGAGGATTTTTGGCTTCGCAGCAGCAGCTCCTTTGCTACTTCAAAGCGGGAGGCCCAGAAAACACTGTGAGTGCGCAACTCTGTAGTGTAGCGACCCCGCTAATTCACAGCGCATACGTGCCACTATCCCTAGCCTCGCGGGGTGCAGGCCCACAATCATTCGGAAGCAATTTTCCTTTAGCAACTATGCCTCACTAGAGGGCTAGTCCTCGATTACACCGAAGATGTCAACTTGGATGCCATTCCTCGGGAGGGCACGCCAGGGTGCGAGTAGCCTTGGAACACCCGCCACAATTCACCTCGTAGACTTTTGCATAGCTCGGGAGTTTGGCGAGGGCATTATGGCTAAATGAAGAAAACCTTCCTGAGGGCGTCATCTGTTCGTACCAAACATCCACCATGTGATCCTCTCGATACCATAAACGATGGGGACCTTTTCCCTCTTCGCATCTGGATGAGCCCTGCTTCCCCAGAGGTGATCTATAACTCAACACAGCGCGATTCTGACGCACATGCGCGCGGTTTCTGGATGCCTTCGCTCGCTCGTCACAAGTATTAGAGCTCACCACGATTGTTCGCTGGCAATACAATATGCGTATCAACTCGTGTATCGCCTACAGCAGTCCTTTCGCGCAGCTCGAGCGACGTTCAAATGCTTCCTCATCAGGTAGTATGTGCCATGCAATAAATCAGTTCTAGTACTACTATATAAGATAAAGCCCAGCCCGTCAGCTTTTCTTGGCCAACCGCTCGGAACGCCTCGTCGGTGCAGGAGGCGCTGCCGCCTTGGCTTTGGCGGTCTTCGACCTCCGCCCTGTGACTTCCGCCTTCACAGCGGCCGGACGTCGAGGGCTAGGGGATTTGCGAGAGGCCTGTGCCTTACGCGACGCCGATGCCTTCGTCGCAGTCTTCGTCGGCTGAGGCTTGTTGCCCTTCTTCGAAGCAGCACGCGATGTAGGCGCTTTCTTTTTCGATTGGGGCCCCGTGGCCTTCTGAGGAGGTGCGGCCTTCGCCACGGTTATCATAGACCGACCAACTGCTGTCGCCGCCGCCGATTTCCGTTTTCCAGTCGCTGCCTTCTTGACCGCAGCCTCCTGTGGAGCCACCGCTTGCTCTTCAGCCTTGACGAGAGCTCGAGTCCGAGGTCCTCCAGTGCGGGGGACCGTGGGCCTCTTCGGCGCCTTCGGCGCTTCGCCAGTATCTTCCTCTTCCCGTTTCCGCTTCGCTCCTGACTCGCCGGACGGACTTGGGGTCTTCCACTGCCCCGTCTTCCCCTTCCTGTCTAGATAGCAGACCATTCGCCAGTTCAAGAACTGGTCGAAGCGCTTGTCGTCTCTGTAGGCCTGAAGATCGAGGTCGTTGCCGTGCTCATCTCTGGCGATGCTGAGGAAAAGGAAGGCCAGGTCTGTGTGTGACTCGAGCACCGGTTGAGGGTCGTCGAACGGGCACGAGGGCTTCTTACGGACGACGGTCTTCCAGAACACCTCTTTGCCCTTCGAGGACTTGACGGTGCGGCGAGCGTTCCGCGCCCACATGCTGGCATAGATAGGGTCCTGGCCCAGATACTCAGCCGGCGCCTCGACAAGAGGGAGAGGAGGACCCGAGGTCGCCACATAGTCGACTTCGTCAGGGGCAGCACAATCGCCTTCGTGTGCTGCATATTCCGCGAACTCTGATTCGTCCAAAGACCAGTAGTGTTCCTGTAGCAGCTGGTATGCCTTGAGAAGGAACGTCTCCACGAGAGAGCGCTTGCCGTTCTTAAGGGGCTTGAACGGTACGGGTGGGAGACCTGAGAGAATCATGTGGTACTTCAGTCCTCCACCCTTATAAAATCCGTTGCCGACGCGCTTCTGTGCGTAGAAGAATACGCTGACTAGACCCATGAGCTCGGGGTTATTCGCGTTGGCCGTGATCTGCGCGTCCTCTGTATCCTCGAGGGGCTCCGAGGACAGCTCGTGATCATGAAAACGGTATGCGAGAAACGTAATGACATGAATGAAGGACTCCAAATCGTCTGCGAGCTCTGGAGGCTTGCGTGGATATCGCAGAGCCAAAGCAGATTTGAAGGCCCAGGTCCCCTGAATAACGGTACGCATGCTCAGAATGGCACGCTGACACGACCAAGTGATGTCACTTACCGATATACCAGAAGGTTCAGAAGCCGGCCGCTTTGTCTCCATATCCTCACGGTATTTGCAGAGGTCCCAATCGTTCAGAAAACCTTTGCCCGTCTGGGTGTCGATCATAATATTCCCGATACTTATGTCGCGGTGAAGAATGCGTGCCTCTTCCCATGCTTCCTGGTGAGCTAGTACAAACATTAGCTGGGGCGTTTAAGTATATTATCACAACGACTCACCAAAAAACGCCTCGGTGCATACACGTAATAGCTCCCAGGAGTCCTTATATGTCTCGAGCAGTCTTCCCACCTCCTTCGTCACAAGACGAGTATGCACCCGTTCCGAGGGCCGCCAACTGTCCGCCAAATGCGCCAGATAGTCTTGCGTGACCGTTCGGTGTTCCATCACGTCTCCACCCGCCACTGGCGTAGCGATATACGTGACGTGGTGCTTGTGAAGTCGCATGTAAGCGTCCAGCTCCGTATGAGGACGAGCAGCGCAGCGCCACTGGTCCTTGAACCACACCAGCCGCTTGGTCTGCATATCCAGCGCCGGGTAACCTTTGGTGCACCTCCCCACAGGCGCGTAGTGGCCGAATGCGTATCGTCCGATAAGATATGTCTTCTCGGATATCGACGCCTCCGATCCGTCAAGGGAAATAGTGGGACAGGAGACCTGATGGATGAAGGCGAGATTAGCCGAATCACGATGATAAACATATGGAGCAGGCGCACCTTATAGATAGGGTAGCTCAACTGATCATCTAGCATAGACTCGTGATATTCTTGCAGCGCAAGGTTATCCCCGGGCTGGTAACTCTCCAGCACGGAGATTTCGTCTGCGTTAGCTAG